ACGGGCCGACAAGCACAGGGCTTTTTAAAGCTTCGAGCGTTCTTTCTTCTGAGGTTAAAGGAGTTTACCTTCTTTTCTTGGCTACCTTATTCACAGCCGCCTCCAGGCCTCCAGGATATAACAAGCTTGCCGAAGCGCACGGCAATGGCCCAAGCTTTAATGCCAATGAGGAGACAGGCTTGAGGCATGCTTTCCAGGAGCCCGATCCCTGTGACCCCCCACCTGGGTCCAGTGGAAAACGATCTTCGGCAAGGCCACGCTGAAGCCACGAAGGCCGGCCAGTCGCCGGTGGCGGGCTACAAACTGTACCTTGGCGTCGGATGCGTCGGGGTGAACCCTGAAGTTCATATCTGAGCTCAAACCATGAGATCCCTGAGTCTTGTCTTACGTTATCGCAGCCCTGCTCTGCCAGGCAAACCCATGCGCAGGGAACCCCGCCAACGATGACGATGACAACAGCTTGGCTCTACAAGCTACGTGCAGCCTTGATGCGATGGCCTCTTCGCGCAAGATCTTGCCTGCACAGGGAGCATTCAGCACGGCTGCTTCCCCGCCGCCCCGTCACCATATGGGCAGCGAGCAGACACTGAAAGCCACCTCATTGTCTTGGAAGGCTAGGAGCAGATGTGACGGGTTGCTTAGTTGGACATTTGAGGCCCAGTGTACTGGCACCAAATCGGCACCCAACCTATATCAAACCTCGTCACGCGAAGCTCCCTGGCCTTCTTGGGGCTTCTGGGTCTTCTCGGATGTGGGCTTTCAGGTGGGTTGGGTTTGAGGGTTGTCAGCTAGGGGTGGTAGAGTCCACCCCCACGCGTTCCACGCCAGTCCAAGCCACTGACTCCTGCACCGTCCTAGAGGCTTCAAACTCTCTGCCGGCAGGCAAAAAGCCACCCCCCCCCGTCCTCGAGGCTTCAAACTCTCTGCCGGCAGGCAAAAAGCCACCCCCCCCCCCCCCCCCCCCCAAAAAAAAAAAAACACCCGCTTGTTGTCGTGGCTCGTTGCTATAGGGCGCCTGCGCTTTTTCGCTCGCGTGTTGTGGCTTATCTGCTACTTGTGCCTGCACCCGCTCTCTGAGCCTGCGAGGTTGTGGCAAACAAGAGAGGGCAACCGTTAACTTTGGAAGAATAGGGTGCTGAGGCACAGACACAGACTCCCAGGGATCAGGGCCTTCTTTGAACCGAGACTCTCTGACGTGCCTGGCAACCTACAGCAGACTCGTGCCTTCCCACGGGTTCTCTGGACGGGACTCTGCTAGCACCAAGGACACAACATACCTAAGAACCTCAGCGAGCACGACATCACACCGGTCTGGACTGACCTCAACTGCAAAGGTCAGCTTCGACATCTCTAAGCGAGGTAGCCGGTACTCAAACCCGGGCTTAATTTCATGCAGCCCTGCCGTCGGCCCCAATAGGTGATCCACCTTGAACCCCAAGGACCCTCGAACCCAAACAGCGAAATCTAAAACATCCTGGAACCTCAACCACAAATCCCCTTAGAAGCCCTTTAGCCCTTAGGCTGCCTTGCTCCGGTGTGCCGGCAGGAGCTAGAACTCCAGCTGCAGACAGGATCCTCGGATGCTGGAGGCTCCAAGGTTGCAGGACTTCTCACGCTTGCGACGCGATTCCAGTGAGTGTCTGCACTCTATAGACTCTATGTGCCTGTATTGTTTTGAGGCGAGATGTTGCAGACGTTCCGAGAACTGATCGGGAACAAAAGAGTTCGAAGGGGGTTTGATCCTTCAGGGAGTGGCCATCGCGAGGTTGATAGTTGCCTTTTGCTCTTGCTCACTTGCAGGCTCCTGAGCCAGCATGCTGGTGCTTCTGTTGCTACGCTCATTCGACAAACGCGCTGCGACACACCAATTCATATGACTTTTGGGGACGAATCCCCGAAAAGTCTCGAGATTTCGGTCACTGAAACCAGGCCAGTCACGTCAAGATCTGATGCGCTCTGTACAAGACCTGCGAGTCGATCTCCAGGGGCGGGTCCAGGATGACTTTCGGATCCTCCTTTGGAAGTCTGCGCTTGACACTTTTTGCTTTCAGGCTCTGGCAGATGCATGTCTCATTCGATGAAACACCAAACATCTCCAAGGCCACGAAACCCGAACCAGCACAAGGCAACTGGGACTCAGGCAGGCTCCGGGGACGCCGGCTCCGGCGGGGCAGGCTCCGGCTGCGCCTGGCCATCCAGGCTTCAGGCTTTTCGGCCGTTTACCTGTGTTTTCCATCTTGTCAGGGAGGTTCTGGAACCGAATTGAGCCCCAGGAACCGAACCGCTGGATGATGGGGGCGGGCTTTTCGCGAGATGAAGTGTCTCGGCATAGATCATGGGGGAGCATTTTGCAGGAGGAGAGAGTTTGCAGGTATTGGAGGTACAGTATTGTCCGCGATACCGCGGTCACAAGAGGTGACTTGTGCTCATCAGCAGACGCCATGGAAGGTGCTGGCCGGGCTGGTCGAGCCAGAAGTGGTTGGCAAGTGTGTCCTCCACTTGCTGCTCATTGAGCCCAGGATGTGCTCGGCGCAGTGACCGCAACCAGGGATTGAACATCTGGCCAGGTTTCAGCTTCCCCTCCGGCCGCCGGACTGGGATATCTTTGCACCTTGCGGCGATTAGCCACAGCAGCTGAAGAAAGGAACGGTCTTGCACTGCCGAGATGTTGCTAATGGCAATAGTATCTTTCTCATGGCTTGCCCAGCTTTTGCAGAGGCTTTGCACATAAGAGTGGTGTTTGGTGTCAGCTTTATCATTGTCACACCGCAACATGGCATCCACGAAATATGCCATGCAAAGCTCCAGCGGCTTCAACTCCCACAACACAGCCAAGTGAAATGGAGACATTGCAAGCTGCAGTATGGCTTGTGATGCGTGTCTCACAAGAGGCTTGTGATAGAGAACCCATTCGACGGGCGGCTCCTGAGCTGCAAGGCCAGAGGCGTGCGCAGTGCCACTGGCAAAGTTCAGATCACGCTCTGAGCCAGGTATGATCGCCGAAAATGCCTGGACCTGGACCAAGCCTCTGAACCTGGTCATAAAGGTGTGCACCGGATCCGTCACAGGGAGCTTGCGCGAAAAACGACCTGCGCCCCCTGGCCGCATGTCGGCTGTTCGTGGTTCGGGCAAGGGCTTCGGCCGTCCATTTTCATCAAACCAGAAGCTGTAGAAAGATGCCCACCCACCGCGGTGCAGCAGCAGTGCCTGTCGGCGAAGCTTTACCATGTGGTGAGGCCTGAGGCCGCGCTGAATCAAGCGCACGGTTCCCGGGTGAAACGCGCATCGCTCTACTGCAACAGCTGGCAAAGCCACATGCCCCCGGAAGTGGTCGGAGTGCTCCTTGCTTCTTTGCATCATGGCCTGCGGCGACTTTGGGCAAGGCACCCAAGTGTCGTAAGCCCTGCATTTCGCGGCAGGCAGCCAGAGCCTCTTCACCGAACCCAGTTCGTCTTGAAGCTTCCGACAGAAGCCGTTTGTGCTGCAGTTCCGAGCCATCCGGATGGTGTCACCGGCCACGAAGAAGCGTCCAACATGAAGCTCCACGGTGCTTCCAAAGGTTTCAAAGCCACCCTCCCTGCGTGAAACAATGCAGCCGAAGAACCAAGGTTCGCCAGTACCAGTGGGAGAGTCGCTCACGTAAACAGGTTCAGAGCAACTCCAGCCCCCATTTTTTAGGTTTTCGAGGTAGGAGGTGATGCATTTCTTCTTCAGAAGGAACTCGAGCTGGGACCGAACGAAGATCTTCATGTCGATGTCCTTGTCCACGTGGTCGACAGCCCCGCCGAGGTCAAAAGCCATCTTGCCATATCGGACCAAGGCAATCAGAGTGCCCTCCGATGGGAAGAATCGGCCCTCCAACCCACAGGCTCTCATCGCCGCGACAGACTGCTTCAAGCCCCTCTTGAACCTTACAATGCTTTACAAGGCTCCAGGAGCTGAAGAGGCCTTTGCAGGTTAGGGGCTTCGGGAACATCCTGGAACTCTGAAAGAGAATGCCAAAGGCGAGCCGAGGCACAAGCTGTGATAGGGCCATGGTCTGAATAAGGCCCCAGTTAAGTTTTGGGCCTCCCACCAGGCGAGGTCGAAACAGTGGCTGCACCAGGGCCCATGTTCCCGTCGACCGAGAGACCCCAAGCTCTTCAGAAAGCTTCGGCTCGCATGCGCGACCTCGCCAAGCGGGCTGCCCTCGCATCCCTTCGAAGCCTTCGACTTCTGGAATACGGCTCGCAGGTGCTCATCCACGGAGCCTCTCCCCTGAAGAGATTTCCGGAAGTGATGGAGGATGTTGGTGGCGTGCGCCTTCTGCAAGGCATCGCAGGGTTCCTGGCACGGCAAATCGTGATCTTAGCACAAGACTGTGCGAGGTGGGCAGAACTTGCAGCCGCATGCAGTCGCGCAGCTCGCTGCTGCCAAGACTAAGACTATTATGTTTCTTCATGAATATCCCGATGTTCCATTTCGGGAAGGGCCTCCTCAGCACTGCTGAGGCCAAGCACGAGGAGTGCAACATAAAGGCGGGTCATGCATCTTCCCAGCCCGGGCGGCTCAGTGCTCGGCCATTTTCCTTTGGGCCTTCGCACCCCCTGAGGCTGGATTAGGTTCTTAGCTGTCAGATATTCGGTTAGATTAGACAAGTGGTTTGCGATGCTCCCCGTCATACTAACAGTACTTTCTAGGGACTATAGTACCCCCTTTTGTCATCCCTATTAAGGACTGCTAGCACAAGGGGAACATCCCAACATGTGGTTCTTGACGCAGAGTGAGGGTTTATGGATTGAGTCTAGGGGTTCCAGGATGGTCCAGGATGGTCTTCATGTTGTGATGTAGACAAACACTCCACGAGCCAAATTTCGCGCGGCCGGCACACACGTGGGGGGGGGGGGTTCAGGGTTCGTTTTTCTCACCGTAGGTTTTTCTTTTTTGCGAGTTCTTTTTTGGCACCCGACTAGCCACGAGTTTAGGGTTTAGGGTTTTTTTTAGGGTTTTTTTGCCACCCGCTTAGCTGACCTCTCGGGTTTTTTTTTTGCCACCCGCCTAGCCGACCCCCTCTGGGACCACTCCGCAGGGAACAATCGTATCCTCTCGGGGTTTAGGGTTAGGGTTTAGGGCACATCGGCACCTTATGTCTCTGAACATCCCTCTACATGGACTCCACAGCATCTCCTCAGTACCCCCCCCCCCCCTTGTCCCTGAGCGTGCCTGGGGCCGCCGCCGCGGTTTGAACTTCACGGAGCTGTGGCCTGGGAGCGCACTGAAGGGTTTTGGGATCCTAAGGTCGATTTTTCGGGCGGAACATTCGGCTCTGTCCGGCTGGTCAAGCATTTCAGGCGTTGTGACCGGAGCATGGCTAGACATCCGAAAGCTCAGGCTCGTGCCCAAGGTGGTGTTGCCAAAAATCATGCAGCCTCCGAGATGCTTCCTCAAGGATTGCATCTCCCGTCACAGCAAAACAAGCGTGATGAGCGATGATGCATGATGATCGAGCCGAGTTTCACTGGTGGCCGGTTCGGCCGGCGATCCGCCATTCCAAGCACACAGCGCCAAGGACGCGGGCGGATGCTTCAAGTGTCACACAACACAGGGCTTCTTTAAGGCGGTGTGTGAGTGCTGGGTTGAGGCTTGCGTCCACTCATCAATACAAGGCCTGTTGCACATCCTACTAGGCTTTGCCCGCGCACTGCGAAGCTGAAACGGCTAGGAAATCCCATCGCTGCGAAGCAAAAAAGGGGAGTTTGCTGAGGGGGGAGGCCCCGAAGAACCATGCACTGTAGATCTTTGTTGTACCTTGTAGGGCCGACAGCTGAATATAGAAACCGACTTGTTTGCAATTGTGTACGCCAAAAAGCACCCGAACTCGGTGAGTGAGCACAAACTTGCGCATTCTACTTTGTACTGTGTTGCATGGTTGCCTTGGACGTGTCTTGGTGGTGTGGGATTGAATGGAAAAGTGTTGCTACTACTCATTAACTTCTACTGTAACCCTCCGCCAGCAGATGTGCAGTGTGTTTCTTTTGCAGGCAGCTCGGCATTAGCATGTCTGGCCACGTCGCACCTCGCCACGCGTTGAAGCCCTGAAGACACCTATAACTAGATCAACTACTTCCAACAAAACCGATCAGATTCTGATTCTAGAGGTTGACAGAATCGCAGCCCTAAGCTCTCATGATCACTCCCGGAACCTCTTTACCGTAAACAACTTTGTGGTGCTCGGGATCAAACCCCTGGAAAGGCTCAGGAGGTCTCAGGTATCAGCCGTCATGTCGACAGTCAGCCTGGATCGAGGGTATGATGGGAAATGCCTTGACTCTTCCACAATCTTGCCTGTAGCAGGGAAGTCACTGTGTGCAGGAATAGCCTGTGTCAAAGTTGCAGCATGTCGGAACAATCGGGCCAGGTGGCACGGAGGAGGCTTTGCTCGTGCGACGGCTCGTCATGTCTGCCTCCACGAAGCCGTTGGACCTGAAACCTCCCAAAGGCAGCCGTGGCAACGACTGCAATGGCTCGAAGATCCTGGTATCAAGATCACGCCTAGAACGCGCAGGGGGAGATGTTCATGCACGCTTGTGCGCTACTTGGTTTGGGCCTCTAAAGCCACTGCTGGAATGGCTTAGGGTCCACTCGGGTTTAGGACTACGAGGATACCAGCGAACTCGGGCAGACTCACTTGGTTGAATTCGCAGCTTCTGGGTGGCTTGGACTTGAACCCCGGAGAAAGTAAGGCTGTGAGCACACAAAGACGCGAACAGCGTGAATACAATGAAAATCAAGCATTTTCTTCCTTCAGAACTTCCTTTGCACAGCCTTGTTATAGCTTATTGTCTTCTCTTTTCATTACAACTTTCTTCTTATCGTGCGTTAAGATATTTTATTCTGACTGCAAAGAACAAGAACGAATACACGAAGCCAAATTGCTACTTTCTGAGCTCCAGAAGGTGGAAATCTAACCGCATGAGATGCTAAGAGAAGAGAGCACAGTAAGATAGGTTTGGAAAGAGGGCTTCTTTTACCGCCTAATAAACAAGTACTACAAAAGTACCACAAAGTACTCCAAGCCAACATTCAAGGCACTCAGAAGTCTCGTCAATGCTCTGGCTCTGGCGTCGCTCGGCCTCCACGCTGACCAATCGCAGCCGATGTTGCTCATTGAGGGCCGCTTGGAGGTTCCGCTCTGCCTGCTCCTGAGTCCACTTCAAAGCTTGGCTCAGAAAACTGGAGGAAGAGCCTTCACGTTAGGTAGAAACAAGGCGAGGCCGTCAAGAGACAGACAGACAGCGACAGAGAGAGAGAGAGAGAGAAACCGCCGAAACCGCGATGAGAGTCTTACAAGCCTTATAAACATGTCCCATAAAAAGTCTTATATCGTCTTATCCATTACTTCCTGGGCTCGCGCTGTTTGAGGGCGCTCCGCAAGTGCCTGCAGTCGTTCTGGAGCCGGCGCTGTGCCTCGAGGTGTGCGGCGCTCTGGCCCTCCAACTCCTCGACGGAGCGGCGCAGCACCTCTCAGCGGCAGGCTGCGCTGACGGTGAAGTGACCACTTTACTCTTACGTATCTAAATATTTTGTATACAGATATATATATATATGTACGAGGAACCTTCCTGTATTATGTGACCATGCGTCTTTTCTGAACTTTCAAACGGGGGTTCGAATAGTTTGAATGGTTTGGGGGCCCGGCCTGGGGTCCCCAAACTATTCGAACTATTCGAACTATTCTAAACTATTCGAACTATTCGAACCAGAGGGGTTCGAATAGTTCGAATAGTTTGGGGGCATGGCCTGGTGCCCCAAACTATTCGAACTATTCGAACCAGATGGGTTCGAATAGTTTGGGGGCCCGGCCTGGGGCCCCCAAACTATTCGAACTATTCGAACTATTCGAAACTATTCGAACTATTCGAACCAGAGGGGTTCGAATAGTTCGAATAGTTTGGGGCCCGGCCTGGTGCCCTAAACTATTCGAACTATTCGAACTATTCGAACCAGGGGGGTTCGAATAGTTCGAATAGTTTGGGGGCCCGGCCTGGTGCCCTAAACTATTCGAACTATTCGAACTATTCGAACCAGGGGGGTTCGAATAGTTCGAATAGTTTCGAATAGTTCGAATAGTTCGAATAGTTTGGGGCGTGCCCGGGGAGACCAGTTTGGGAGGAAGGGGGTTCGAATAGTTCGAATAGTGTGGGGGCCCCAAGCCGGGCCCCCAAACTATTCGAACTATTCGAACTATTCGAAACTATTCGAACTATTCGAACCAGGGGGGTTCGAATAGTTCGAATAGTTTGGGCGCGAGGGCTGGTGCCCCAAACTATTCGAACTATTCGAACTATTCGAACCAGGGGGGTTCGAATAGTTCGAATAGTTTCGAATAGTTCGAATAGTTTGGGGGGTCCCCGGGGAGACCAGTTTGGGAGGAAGGGGGTTCGAATAGTTCGAATAGTGTGGGGGCCCCAGGCCGGGCCCCCAAACTATTCGAACTATTCGAAACTATTCGAACTATTCGAACCAGGGGGGTTCGAATAGTTCGAATAGTTTGGGCGCGAGGGCTGGTGCCCCAAACTATTCGAACTATTCGAACTATTCGAACCAGGGGGGTTCGAATAGTTCGAATAGTTTCGAATAGTTCGAATAGTTTGGGGGGTCCCCGGGGAGACCAGTTTGGGAGGAAGGGGGTTCGAATAGTTCGAATAGTGTGGGGGCCCCAGGCCGGGCCCCCAAACTATTCGAACTATTCGAACTATTCGAAACTATTCGAACTATTCGAACCCCCCTGGTTCGAATAGTTCGAATAGTTCGAATAGTTTGGGCGCGAGGGCTGGTGCCCCAAACTATTCGAACTATTCGAACTATTCGAACCAGGGGGGTTCGAATAGTTCGAATAGCTTCGAATAGTTCGAATAGTTCGAATAGTTTGGGGGGTCCCCGGGGGGACCAGTTTGGGAGGAAGGGGGGTTCGAATAGTTCGAATAGTGTGGGGGCCCCAGGCCGGGCTCCCAAACTATTCGAACTATTCGAACTATTCGAAACTATTCGTTACTATTCGAACCAGGGGGGTTCGAATAGTTCGAATAGTTTGGGCGCGAGGGCTGGTGCCCCAAACTATTCGAACTATTCGAACTATTCGAACCAGGGGGGTTCGAATAGTTCGAATAGTTTGGGGGCGAGGGCTGGTGCCCCAAACTATTCGAACTATTCGAACTATTCGAACCAGGGGGTTCGAATAGTTCGAATAGTTTCGAATAGTTCGAATAGTTCGAATAGTTTGGGGGGGGCCCGGGGAGACCAGTTTGGGAGGAAGGGGGGTTCGCGCCGGCCTGGGGCCCCCAAAATTCAAAATTTGCCGGAAACCCCTTGGCACCCTGCAAAAGTCCCGCAAATACCGCACAAAACGGGAACGGGTAGGAACAACTTTGCGGGTCGAAATTTGCCGGGATCCCCTTGGCACCCTGCAAAAGTCCCGCAAATACCGCACAAAACGGGAACGGGTAGGAACAACTTTGCGGGTCGAAATTTGCCGGGATCCCCTTGGCACCCTGCAAAAGTCCCGCAAATACCACACAAAACGGGAACGGGTAGGAACAACTTTGCGGGTCGAAATTTGCCGGGATCCCCTTGGCACCCTGGAAAAGTCCCGCAAATACCACGCAAAACGGGAACGGGTAGGAACAACATTTGCGGGTCGAAATTTGCCGGGATCCCCTTGGCACCCTGCAAAAGTCCCGCAAATACCGCACAAAACGGGAACGGGTAGGAACACCTTGGCGGGTCGAAATTTGCCGGGATCCCCTTGGCACCCTGCAAAAGTCCCGCAAATACCACACAAAACGGGAACGGGTAGGAACAACTTTGCGGGTCGAAATTTGCCGGGATCCCCTTGGCACCCTGGAAAAGGCCCGCAAATACCACGCAAAACGGGAACGGGTAGGAACAACATTTGCGGGTCGAAATTTGCCGGGATCCCCTTGGCACCCTGCAAAAGTCCCGCAAATACCACACAAAACGAGAATGGGTAGGAACACCTTGGCGGGTCGAAATTTGCCGGGATCCCCTTGGCACCCTGCAAAAGTCCCGCAAATACCACACAAAATGGGAACAGGTAGGAACAACTTGGCAGGTCGAAATTTGCCGGGATCCCCTTGGCACCCTGCAAAAGTCCTGCAAATGCCGCACAAAACTGGTGCCCCAAACTATTCGAACTATTCGAGCCAAGGGGGTTCGAATAGTTCGAAAAATTTCGAATAGTTCGAATAGTTCGAATAGTTTAGGGGGGTGGGGTGCCCGGGGAGACCAGTCTGGAAAGAAGGCTCGTGCTCGATTGGGAGAAGCCCCTGGCTCGTAATTTAGTATTGGGGGAAGGCCCGGGCTCGTAATTTAGTATTCGGGGCAGGTAATTTAGTATTGGGGGAAGGCCCGGGCTCGTAATTTAGAATTCGGGGAAGGTCCGGGCTCGTAATTTAGTATTGAGAGAAGGCCCGGGCTCGTAATTTAAGATTGGGAGAAGGCCCGGGCTCGTAATTTAGTATTGGGAGTAGTTTGGGGCCCGGCCTGCGCCCAAACTATTCAAACTATTCGAACTATTTGAAACTATTCGAACTATTCGAACCAAGTGGGTTCGAATAGTTCGAACGATTCGACTTATCTCAAATTATATTTCGAACTTTCGTAACCAAGGGGGTCGAATAGTTCGAAATTTCGAATAGTTCGAATAGTTTGGGGGGGCCCGGGGAGACCAGTGTGGAAAGGAAGGGACAGGCTCGGGCTCGTAATTTAGTATTGGGGCAGGCCAGGGCTCGTTTTTTAGTATTGGGGGAAGCCCGGGCTGCATTAGTATTGGGAAGGCCGGCTCGTAATTTAGTAATTGGGGGAAGGCCCGGGCTGGTAATTTAGTAAGTGGGATAGGGGGGGTGTTCGAATAGTTTGGGGCCCGGCCTGGGGCGCCCAAACTATTCAAACTATTCGAACTATTCGAAATTATTCGAACTATTCGAACCCAGGGGGTTCGAATAGTTCGAATAATTTCGAATAGTTCGAATAGTTCGAATAGTTTGGGGGGGGCCCGGGGGAGACCAGTCTGGAAAGGAAGGGAAGGCTCGGGCTCGTAATTTAGTATTGGGGGAAGGCCCGGGCTCGTAATTTAGTATTGGGGGAAAGCCCGGGCTCGTAATTTAGTATTGGGGGAAGGCCGGGGCTCGTAATTTAGTATTGGGGGAAGGCTCGGGCTCGTAATTTAGTTTTGGGGGAAGGCTCGGGCTCGTAATTTAGTATTGGGGGAAGGCCCGGGCTCGTAATTTAGTATTGGGGGAAGGCCCGGGCTCGTAATTTAGTATTGGGGGAAGGCCCGGGCTCGTTATTTTGTCTTGGGAGGGGGTGTGTTCGAATAGTTTGGGGCCCGGCCTGGGGCGCCCAAACTATTCGAACTATTCGAAATTATCGAAATTATTCGAACTATTCGAACCCCCTAACTATTCGAACCAAGGGGGTTCGAATAGTTCGAATAATTTCGAATAGTTCGAATAGTTTGGGGGGGGCCCGGGGAGACCAGTGTGGAAAGGAAGGGAAGGCTCGGGCTCGTAATTTAGTATTGGGGGAAGGCCCGGGCTCGTAATTTAGTATTGGGGCAAGGCCAGGGCTCGTAATTTAGTGTTGGGGGAAGGCCCGGGCTCGTAATTTAGTATTGGGGGAAGGCCCGGGCTCGTAATTTAGTATTGGGGGAAGGCCCGGGCTGGTAATTTAGTATTGGGAGGGGGGGTGTTCGAATAGTTTGGGGCCCGGCCTGGGGCGCCCAAACTATTCAAACTATTCGAACTATTCGAAATTATTCGAACTATTCGAACCAAGGGGGTTCGAATAGTTCGAATAATTTCGAATAGTTCGAATAGTTCGAATAGTTTGGGGGGGGGCCCGGGAGACCAGTCTGGAAAGGAAGGGAAGGCTCGGGCCCGTAATTTAGTATTGGGGGAAGGCCCGGGCTCGTAATTTAGTATTGGGGGAAGGCCCGGGCTCGTAATTTAGTATTGGGGGAAGGCCCGGGCTCGTAATTTAGTATTGGGGGAAGGCCCGGGCTCGTTATTTTGTCTTGGGAGGGGGGGTGTTCGAATAGTTTGGGGCCCGGCCTGGGGCGCCCAAACTATTCAAACTATTCGAACTATTCGAACCAAGGGGGTTCGAATAGTTCGAATAATTTCGAATAGTTCGAATAGTTCGAATAGTTTGGGGGGGGCCCGGGGGAGACCAGTGGAAAGGAAGGGAAGGCTCGGGCTCGTAATTTAGTATTGGGGGAAGGCCCGGGCTCGTAATTTAGTATTGGGGGAAAGCCCGGGCTCGTAATTTAGTATTGGGGGAAGGCCGGGGCTCGTAATTTAGTATTGGGGGAAGGCTCGGGCTCGTAATTTAGTTTTGGGGGAAGGCTCGGGCTCGTAATTTAGTATTGGGGGAAGGCCCGGGCTCGTAATTTAGTATTGGGGGAAGGCCCGGGCTCGTAATTTAGTATTGGGGGAAGGCCC